GAAATATAAATTTGAAGATAGTATAAAATTTTGAAAAGAAAATAAATCGATATTAATATCAAATTAACTATTTAATAGTTTTTGTTTTTTTGGTATAACTTCTTTATTTTAATTTTTTTATTTTATAATTTAATTTAGATTTAATAACAAAATATTTTATTTTTAGTTTAATAATATAATTTTTTTATAAATATAATAATTAATCATTATGTTAAAACTCAATGATTATCTTAATTATATTTTAGATTTTCTATATTTAAAATGGATCTTTATCCTGTATTTGATTATGTTTATCTGCACTTAGTTACAAGAATTTAAAAATAAAGCTTTAATAAGTTGTACTTACACAAAATTACTTGTAATCTTGAATTTTAAGTAATATGCATCAATAAACAGTATTTCATGCATAAAAAATGGTTTTTAAGAGTTTTTGTCAAATGCATTATAATATAATATAGATAAATCAGATATTCATACAAATTTCGAAACCTGCTAAAGTGACATCGAACTTTGGAAGCCAATGCCCTTAATTGCGGTTCTCAAACTCTTTCAGCCAGTATTTCTATTAACATAAAATGGTCCTAAGATAATTGGGCAATATACGTGTCTACTTACTTACGGAAACTTGCCTAACATATATAATGGATAATCAAGGCGGTGTTCAATTATGCGTATCAAAGTAAAGTATGATACGCATAATTAGGTTTTTATGTCTTAATAAAACCATTATAATTATGAAGTAGGGTTTCGGCGTAGTGGTTGAGATCATGAGGATGCGGTGGAAAATCTCATCTGCCCAAGGTTCAATTCCAGGGGTATGCAACAATTATGGTCACTGAGTTTATTAGGGCTGATTCCTTACAGTCACAATCTGTCGGGATTAGTCCAGACATAGTCTGAGACACCCTTCTAAAAAAAGTTGCGACACTATTATCGATAAGACCTCCTGTTTTGTGAAAACGTAACATTTTGAACATACATGATTGAATAGACATGTTAAACTGGTTGAATAATAAGTCAAATAATTTCAGTCATAACGAGTAAGAATTTTGGACGAATTAAACGTGTTGGATTGGGTCGGTTGACTCACCACAATTCTTCTTCTTTCAAAATTTTGAATTTCATGAATAATTAATATACTAAATGTAAATTACAAAAAAACTAATGTTCTTGAATAAAATAATTTAACATATTATAAACATTTTAATATATATATTTGGGTAAATTGTATGAAAAAGTAACGTACTTTAACTTGATTCTTGTTTTGGGTAACGTACTTTTAAAACTTTTATTTTTTATACCTAGAATGTAAAGTTTTAGATATTTAAGTACCCGGGTAACCGGTTGATATGACGAGTGATGTAATATATGGTTAATGCTTTCAGCAAATAATATTGAGTTGGATACCACATCAGCATGATAACAAGTTAATACTTCAAACGGTTACCCAGGTATTTAAATGTTTAAAATTTTACATATTAGGTACCAAAATGAAAGTTTTAAAAGTACGCTACCCAAAATAGGAATCATGTTAAAATACGTTACCTTTTCATACGATTTACCCTGTATATTTTAGGTGGTTTTTAAACCATTTGGTGTATTTTATTCTTCAATTGAATTGTTTAATTTTACTTATTTAACTAATTATCATTAAAACTTAACTTTATTGATTGATTTCTAAGTTGTGTTAAAAGGGAAAGAAATGAGGTGGAATTTTGATCTACACCTTTAAATAAGCCATTAAGCTGAGTTCTATGTGGGTTTTGACTATGCCTTAATAGCCCAATAAGATATTATGTACAAGTCATGTATGTTAAAAAAAACTAAAGGGGTGTTTGGGATTTGCTTATTTGAAACAACTTATGTTTTTTTATAAAAGTCTTTATCAACTTATTATAAGTTAGAATGATTTAACTTCTTTAAAAACTTCTTATTACTAGTTTGGCACCGGTATAAACTGTTTATCTAAACACTCAAAAATGCTTATTACCGGTGTCACACCAGAATAAGTCAATAAATTGTTTTTATAAACAATCTCAAACACCTCCTTACTATCATTTTCCATTGTACAACTCATATATGCTAAAGATGTCACATTTTTCTATATTAATCAATGGTATTTTAGTTATTTTAGCTGGGTTTGATAGGAATAATGTTGTTTGTGGAGTAAAATAACATTTTTGGGCATTTTTATTGTAAGGTCGTTATTTTAAATTTATAACTTACACGTATTTTTCATCTTTGGTGATGTTGGAATTCTTGACCTTTAGAAAGATTGGGTTATCGGATATCACTAGGCCAAAGGCCTTTTGGTAAATCATAGATCTTGTCAGATATAACTTTCTCTGTCTTTTAAAACAATTGTAAGATCTGTTTGCATTTTATCCCTCAGGTTCTATCTCAATTTTCTTGGGGTAATTGTAGGTATCTGGACCAACTTATACTCATTGACTATTGTAACACAGTGAAATTTCGATGAGTAAAATTCTATGACTCTTATGCATCCTTATTTGCCAGATGGTATTAGTTTTAAGATCTAGAATTTGGATGACAATTTTAGGATAAAAGTTTCCGAGGAATGAAAGTTGGGAAAACACCCTCGACACAAATCGGGCGATAGTGCCCGACGATTGTCCAAGGGGCACTATAGCCGTCAGGATCGCACCGAATCACCAGATCTCGGTAATATGGAGCGATAGTGCCTGACGATATTGCCCTGGGCACTATCGCATGTCAGGATTGCCCGAATAGGGCAGTATAGTATAAACCTACGATTTCCAGACTTGTCTCGCTCAATTCTCATCTACCATTTCTTCTCCCTTTTTTTTTCTCATCTCACCCCTCATTAAATTCGATTTCTTGGGCATTTACTCCACTTCTCCAAGCATTTAAGAAGGACTAGAAGGGTACTCGTGCAATGCATCGAGACACATTTCTATTTCAATGTTTCGTTTTTAATTTTTTTTATCATTGTCGATATATTACGATTTCATGTGGTTTTGAGAAAACGATAATGTTTTCATTTTTGAATAAAATATAAATTTGAAAATAGCATATAGAATTTGTAAAAAATATATCAATATTAGTATCAAATTAACTATTTAAAAGTTCTTGTTTGTGTAATCTTTTTAATTCAAATTTTTACTATAATTTCATTTAACGTAACGAAGTAACTTAATTTAGGTTTAATAATATAATTTTTTATAAAAATAATAATTAAGTATTCTGTTAGAACTCAAGAATTATCCTAATTATATTTTAGATTTTTTATATTTTAAAATGAGATGTTTATCCTCTAGGAAGCCAAGGGCTACGATACCGCTAGGCCGAAGGCCCTTTGGTGATAAATGGGGATTTTACCTGCTTGATGGTTATTGGTAAGCAAATACTACATATTTGGTGAAGTTTGAGATATCTATAAGATATGTCTATATCGCTAAAATGCAATAGATCCATAAGTATAGAAGTCGGTTTTTATGAAATATGTAAGGGATGAAGCTCCCTAATTGTAGCTTGGAAATAGACATTATGATTGTTATGTAATTCTTAAACGGACGTGCTTAAAAAAATTATTTTGGAGATCTCAAGGTAAAGACCTGGAAAGGTTGAAATTGGTGACTCGTCAAGCGAAAGACTTGGATATAGTCGAGCTTATTATCCCATTTGACTAAAGAGCCGGAGTTGGTTTCTGGCTTATTTGTGTGTCCCGTCACACCAAATGATGAACTGGGTCTCCACCGTCATCGTTTGATGTTTTATACCTTTCCGAGGGTAAGTGTGTGGTAATTGTACAAATGACTTGATGAAAGCTATGTTTTTCGTTTTAATGTTTTATAATTTTACTCAATAAATGTTTGTTCTCACTAGGAGTTAAGCCTAACAATTTTTTTTTTCTTAAATGACATGTAAATCAGGGTCTTTTAACGGTGGGGCTTCTACGGCTCAGTGGAGCGATACATGCTGTTAGAGACATTTTTGGGATTGCAATCTTCTGGAAATCATTCTTGAAATATACGGTTAATCTTTTGAGGATTATAGCAACATCCGATTTGTAATTTAGATCTAGAATTGATTTAGATTAGTAGGTTGTTAGCTACCTTTCACTGCATTGTAGACTCTTACACTATTTTCCTCATGTACTGGTGATTATATATTGATCCAGTTTTAGTCCGCTTTAATTCTGCAGCTCACTGTCTCCTATTTTAGGGGTGTTTCAACTAATCCCTGGGACGATCAAAAATAGCTTGGAGTAATCGCACGTGAACCACCATGACTACAAAGGCTATGATAATTTTTTTTGATTAACCTGGATATCCAACCCGCTATGTGAACTGACTAATCCCAAGGCGACCACCTGCTTTGCAGATAGCCCGGAGTCATCGCATTTGAACCTCCGTGGCCACAAGGGGATTTTTATTTCTTCTTGGATTTGAACGTATGACCTCCTGAGTTTGTTTTCTAGGAAAAAATAAATGGGCACCAACCAGCTTTTGGCTTAGCGGTATCTAGACCTTTAACTTCACAGAATATTAAGAGTTCATACCTCATAAAAAAATGATTTGTTTACCTCTTATTAATTCTATTAAGTGACACCATCTGAATCACTAAAATCCTATGAATGATTTTGTATCTTGGGACTCTCTGAATCATTCAACGTTCTAATTTCATTCTGAACAATTACCAAATAACCATATTTCATTTACACTATATCATAAGAGTCTCTTAATCATTTTGACGACTTAATCATCATGTACCAAACCATTCAACAATAAGCTTGTACACTCTATCAAACAGTAGAGCATACGAGTTTATTTGTTAGAGTGACGTAAATAAAATATTATATATTTAAAAAAAGAGTAGACGGGCAAAATGGACCAAATGTGAAAATTGGATATTGGATGGGCTTGGGCTTAGTAAAACCTTTCCTGATTGGTCTTTTCAAGTTTGTTACCATAAACAAGACCACAGACGATTAAAAACCTTTTTGTCAATAAGCCGAACCCCCCCTGACGGAACCAAATTCTAGGGATTTATAATACCAGATCTAGAGAAGCTGTGCTCTTCTTCCCAATTCGCCGGTCAACAGATTCTCCGATGGCTCCACCTCCCGGTCCTTACTCCGGCACCAGCACGCTCGCTCTGGTAATACTCTTCACCACATAAGTTTCATCGGTTTGATGCTTGAAGTGTTTGGTTTTTCGTACAATTGATCGATCTTCCTGCTCATTTAGATGTTTGATTTATGTGATATGCAATTAAATGTAGCAATTTGGGTGATTTAGATTTCAATTGGCTATCTTGGGTTCAGGGTTTTGTGTTGGATGGTTATTTCATGATGAAAATTGAAAACCTACATGTATATTTGGAGAGAGGGATGCAATTGATGCACAAAATGTGAATTATACAATTAGAAAATATGGATTTCAGGGAGAAGAGAGAATACGAGGGGGGGGGGGTAGAGGAATTTCATTCGTCATGTGATGTTCTTCAATCGTTCTTCCTTGTAACCACTTACAATCATGTGTTTGCACCACCATTTCTAACCAATGTTTACTGTATCTGGATTCTCGAATGCTGTTTCTTTCAAAGGCTTTTTGGGGTTGTGTTAGGGGTGGATGTGATTGTTTGTAGGTCTTTCTGCAAATGAGTGATCATCATATTGAACCGTTGTAGTTGCCAATTTGAGTGCAAAAGTGTAAAAAGAACACTATCGTTGCTGGAATATAACTGAAAGAGTACTCCATGTCCACCAAAAATACAGACAATCTTTTTAGTTATCAAGCTACACGAGTAATTTGTTCCCAACTTTCTGCTAAAATGATTTTTCGGTGTTTGGTTGTTTATAAGCGAATAGCAAAGTAATAACAACACCTAATTAGCACATTGGGAGATCTTCCAGTTTTTTCAATAGCTTAATCTGTCATCTCTAAAATTGCACATAGTTGCTTTGTGATTACGTGCAAGCCCTATAGTTTGAGGTTTTCTTTTTATGTTAAGAGGTTGTTATGGGCTCTAAAACTCGTAATTGTAGGTGGCTCGTGTGTCTGCCTTCTCTTTTGGATTAGTTTATGGAAGCATGAAGCTCAAATACCTTCAGGTACTGCATTGTTTCTTACCTGTTAATTTAATCTTTCAAACTTTTATTTGAATAATTTATATGGATCGTGTTTTTGGAATAACTTTGCTTTTCTAATTAAAAGTTCTTATGTATTGGACCATGTTACATTTTTCTCTGTTGTTAGTTTGTACATGAATATATGAGTCAACTCCGTTATGTTTTTTTGTTAACGGAACTCTTGGATCTTAAGTGTCAAACTATGTTATTCTTTTTGGCGAAATTTAAAGTGATGCTACCTCATTTTCTGTGTTTGCATTGGTCAGATAGAACAGCTTTCAACTTTTGATCTTCAAAAGTTGGATTTCTTTCAAATTTAGGTTTTTTTGACATCCAAATGATGGATTCCTTTCAAATTTAGTTTCTTTCGGATGGATTCCTTTCAAATTTACGTTCTCTTGAATTTCGAGTGTCAAACTATGCTATCCTTCTTGGTGAAAGTTTTAAATGATGATACCTCGTTTTATGTCTTTGAATTGGCCAGATAGAAAAGCTTTCAACTTTTGATCTCCAAAAGTTGGATTTCTTTCAAATTTTAGGTTCTTTTGACATCCAAATGATGGATTCCTTTCAAATTTAGGTTCTTTTGACATCCAACTAATGGATTCCTTTCAAATTTAGTTGTTCAGGCTTTTAGTAATGTAGGTTGATCTTTTCAGAAATGGCACCTTGTTTTGCTGGGTTGCATCAAAGACATAGGAATGCTTGCCTGGTTTCAGATCATTCTTTCTACAATCTGTTGTCCGAATAACGGATTTTATTTCAATTTAGGTTTCCCAAGCTTGTACTAGTCTGGGTCAAGGGTTTTAGGATCTTGCTGCCTTATCTTAGCATCAGTTACATAGGAAAGGCCGAAAGGGTTTTGGGGTCTGAACGCTCTTCTACAAGCCTACAACTTTTGTCTCCAAATGGTGGATGCTATAGCACATTATGTTATATTCTGACTTAGATCTTGCTTGTTGTTTCATCCTATTTCTGTTTTGGAGTTTAGTAAATTTGCCACCGATGAAGAAGGATGCTCGCAGTTTTTTTCTTCGGACCATACTTGTTAGAACTTGACCATGCCTCTTTTATAAACTCACATTCCCAAACAGTGAACAATCATTACTGATGCTGGTGACAGTCAACCATGGGAAATCCTATCTATAGAAATTCTGCTATGTCATGGGGCTATATTGAGAACATCACTATAATGCAGAATTGTTACTGTTTCTGGTGACACTGTAACTTCGGGAAATCCTGTATACGGGAAATCTACTTTCTGTCGTGGGGCTATTGACATCAATGATGTATTGGGGGTGTTCTTCCATGTTAACTTTTCATACTTGTCATTGGTAGTAGTTGGAGAGGCTAATAGAAATTCTCAAGTATTGTGTAAGGCAATTTTTGGGTAAACTAGCTGATAAACTAGTCATGTTTGGTAAAATAAAAACTAGCTTTTTTAAGCTGGATAACAATGTTAAATTACCTAAAAGGAACGAGTTTTTGGTCATTTATGTAAATATAAGGACAACAAGGCATAATTGGAAAGAAGTCTCACGAAGCTCGTTGAAATGCTACTTGAGCTAGCTTTTCAAAAAGGTAGCTTATAAGCTAGTTTATGGCTTACCAAACGAGGCCTTTATGTAAGCTAAAAAATAAGCAAGCTTATGGTTGCCGTAGATCAAAGGTTTTCTTGTAGAAACTCTTTAACATCTTTGATCAAGTAACTTTAAAAAGACGTGGGTGCTTCATGTGGAAATGAATTCCTCTCTTAACACAATTGTTGAAACGCCCATGGGAATTTTTGTGCATAATACTTGTAAGGTATATAACTCATTTCTTCATGTCTTTGTTGCTATTCATAATATATCGGAAATGCTTTTCTTCCTGTTGCATTCTTTAGCCATCTGTGAATGGTAAGGATTTGTTATTCACTCGTCTTGATGCCCATAATTTTGCAGGCAAAGGCAAAGTCACAAAGAAAAGCCGCAGCCAAAGAACACCACTAAACGGAGAAGTGAATGAGGTAGTGATTTATGTTTTGAATAATTCTTGATGATGATGATCCCGAGTGAATTAGTCTGGTCACTGGCCATCGTATCTTATCTTTTGCTTGTAACTGTTCGATTTTGTTAAGACCATGCTTTTACATGAGTTTTTACTTGTTTTGACCATGACAAATGGTTATACAATTTCTTAGTTCTATATGAACATGATTCAAAAGTTGAATTCTGCTAGATGAAATAAGTGTCCGTTACTCTCATATGCGTGCAAAAAGCGTCTTGAATCGTCATTTCCTTTGTCTGTAAATTAAGCATATATATCTTACCCGTCCTAGACCGGGCTAATCCTCTTTGTTGAGTGAATTCAACGACACGATCCACTATATTGTTCTTTTTAAGGTAGAAACACACCGTATGGACACTTGATTACACAAGATTTAAAGACTTGAAAAATGAACTCTTAAGTTCTTCCTATTATTCTTCACAACCATGTGGATGCTAGTTGGATCTATCTCACATACTTAACAGGGTGTGGAGAATACGGGGTTGTTTATTTATCTCTTAATAGTTCCATTAAGAGGCAACATCTGAACCGTTAAGAAGTGAATTTTGTTTGGCAAAAAAAGTCGGCCTCTTAATGGTTCTAAAACCCTCATAATGGTTTTGTATCTTGGATCTCCCTTAATCATTAAGAGCGCTAATTTCATTGTACACAATTACCAAACAATTATATTTCATTTTGCACTATATCATGAGGGCCTCTTAATCATTCTGCACCAAATCATTCAGCAATTGCCAAACAGCCTCTACTTGTGTTTTTATGTTTTGTATCACGGTGTCATAATGTCTGTTCTAGAATCTATTCCAAGAACATATATGTCACCCGTCCCAGACTCTATTTTGGAGCAGGATATACTGCTTTTGTTTTCGGTTTTGATTTTGATTTGGATTTTGGCTTGTTTCATGGACAGACATTGAGATACTGTGATCGCATTATCATTTCTTTTGCGTATAGTCACGTATTTCAACGACATACTACCTGCCTGTATTAATCATACATCCATTTTCGTGCTTAAACCAAACCAAATTAAACGAGCCAAGTAAATCTGGCAACGGTTAGGGCCTGGGGAGGGTGTAAATGTAATGTGCATAGATATTTCCTCTACCCAAAGAGAGTGTTTGCTAACATTTAATCATTCCATAATGTACGAGCTTAGTGAGTTCATGATGCTTAACGCTGACTATGGGTGTTTACCAAATGCTTACTGGGAAGAGTCGTTACCCACATTTACCTTATCGGGTAATTTTTGGCCATCACAATGGATTGTTCGTAAGCATACTCGGTAAGATTCTCTGTTCTTATCATGCTCACCTCTTATAGTAAGTGACACCCAGTAAACACTTACTTCGGCTTTTGGTAAACTGCCCACACTCGCATATGAATACCAAAAACTAATTATGGATTTGCTTTCTTTGAAGATTCACATATGATTGTACAAGATTAACTTGAAACCCTAGCCAACTACATGAAAGGAGACCAATTTTTGTCACAAGACAAATTGCATTAAAATGAAACGTGTTTCGTTAATCTTGATTTTGGTGTCTAAGAAGCGACGTATTTTGCATAATGACTCGTGATTACTGATTAGGATCCGGTTTCGTACAAATATATACTTCTTTGATGATGTCGGTTTTTTGTCGCTTACTCGGTTTTTAAAAAATTAAAAATATTGAACTGTCATGTAAACAGAGCTGGGTCTTGGTAAGTATGTACAAGTCTTTAGGTAAAAAGGTATTTAAATGTTTGAGATATCAGATATTAGGCACCAAAATGAAGATTTTGAAAGCTATGTTATCTGAAATAAGAACTGAAACACAATATTAGGTACCAAAATGAAGATTTTGGAACCCCAATGGTTAAGACTATTTCTTATAATTTTTTTTTTATTAACCTGAATATCCAACCCGCTATATGAGCCGACTAATCCCAGGGCGACCACCTGCTTTGCAGATAGTCCGCAGTCACCGTATTTGAACCTCCGTGGCCACAAGGGGATTTTTTTGCTCAAAACTTGTCCAAAAAACGACATGGCTGGATTAGATAAATGACAAAATGTTGTCACAAATTTGAGACGACATAAACTTGGGTACAAGTCGAGACAAAATTGATTAAGGCGGGACTATTTTACCAAAAGACAATTTTGTCCTCATCAATCTTTTTCTTGTATTTATATTTTCTATCGTGTCATAGTCTGTCTTAGACAACTTGTTTTGTACAACTTACGTGCCAAACGCAAGTTTAGGTATAAGTTGGCATGAAAAATGCATAACCGATGCTTGTTTGATAGACGTGTGGCATGTTCTCGACTTGCTTCAAAACTTTTTTGATCTTGGGAGTCGGTTTCTTTTGCATACACTTGCCCAAACCAATCATGAGCGTAGTTTGTTTTTGTCGATAAACATAAATGTGTTTTAACAACCCATAAGACGATCTTGATCATGTTTTTCTAACATTAGAAAAGAGGGAACATTGCTATAACCAATTTGGTTGTATATACATGAAAACAACGTGTCGTCATTGAAATTAAACTCAAAATATCTAAAACGATATTCTAAAGGAAAAGTATGATTCAGGGACACGTGGGAAATGTTTGGAGTCAAACCCAAGACCTCCATCTCATCCCGTAAAGATGCCCACTTTCTTTTTGGACAGGGTATGGACTGTAAAAAACGACGCTGTTCCATCCAGAATTCTATATTCTTTCCAAAGAATCAAAGATAAAGAAAAACCAAAATCTATAGAGGAAAGCAAACGATAAAAAAAAAGAGGACAGAGGAAAGGCTACACCTTATGGCAAAAACAATTGGCCGGTGAGATCTGTTTGAGGTGGAGATCCAAGACCCGTGTAACGAAGTTTGTGGTGTCGGTCAACGTCAAGCACTTTGAGCAAGAGCGTCGAGTCGACTCGACGACAAATGAGGACCAAGCAATGTGGTGTTTAGAGTCAAATGGATGTTAACCAATGATAGGCATAAACCTAGAAGGAGGAGGACCATATGAAGTGCAAGAAGAGGAATGATTGGAGTCAATATGAAAGAATGCAAAAGGTTGACTTTTGAGGCAAAAAGGAAGGCAGAGATGAGGGAGGG